ATCATAACAAGTCTCATCAATGTTCTGATGGGAATACCATCGACTAATGCCAGTTGAAAACTCAACATTCAAACTGCTGACTTCACAAACTGTCTCAAAGTTAATCTCTTCAAATTAATCCGATTAAATTCTCATCAATTCACTGATTAAAGTTTATCAAAATTCCACCATAACAATTCACTTTCGTACGCCTTCAGTGCTAACAATTGGAAACCAGCGATATTGGCACAGCTAAATAAAAGAACAAAATTTAATAAAACAACCACCGAAATTCACCTGAATGATGTAAAGATGATGAATTTGACACTTCCCCCTTGTGCGATCTTGAATTCACTATCACTGTCGCAATATTCAAAGGAGATACCATCCGCAAGTCTACAATTCAAATCAAGGATTATCGCATTGTTCGTAATAATGTGCATGTGCTAATGTGTCTTTGGAAAGCATCAAACATGTGGATTAACTGATAATTTCCCGTTAAAATTCACCCAAAACCTGAATTTTTATCAATAAAGAAACCTACTGAATTGGTGTCGTTGCAGGGTCGGAACTTGGCAGCGTATTGATCAAACCAATCAACAGCTCCTTCCACTCTGTGAGATTCTTTGTGAAAGGCATCGCCTCGGTCGAATCACCAGCAGCAGTTGCGGCTGTGAGTTGCAATTTTTCATTTAATTTCCATTTATTTGTTATATATGTTAGTGATTGCACGATCTGTAATTGTGGCTGTTCATCACATTTCGCTGATAACAAAAGATAAGGATGGCAGCAGTGATAACGGAGATAATATCGAAAACACTCATTATCATTCGTAATGATGTGCATAAACATGGTTCAGTTCACAGAATTTGCATTGAGAAATGAAGTGATTTAAGAGCCAAAGTGTGTTTGCCTAAACCAACCTTATTATAATTGGAAGCAGTAACATTCGAATTATCCACAACGAATACAAAATAATCGAAGCAAGGTGGAGCTGAAAGTGGTTCAATGCGAGTATTAATTATAAACGACGCTTCTTATTAGTGATATTTAGAAGATGGATTTGATACGTTCTTATAAGTCATTGAGATCAGAATCAACGTCGCATCGAAGTAAGCGAAATGATTCAGCAAATTCTAAAAAGTAATTCATTAAGTTCATTCAAATAAGTGATAAAGTAATTAAATCCCTCCAGAGCATAAGATTGCAATTGGCATCAAGGCCATCACGATCCTAGTGTCAACTACTTCGAATTCCAATGCAAATCTGGCTAAAATTGAGTTTTGAATGATAGTTTCGGCCGTAGATTTTTAATTCTGACTTTCAGTAATGCGAGATATACCTTGTTGAGTTGACGGGTGGGATTGATTCGTACTCAATGAGAGCATCATCGAATGCGATTTTTCTTTTTGGCTCGGGATTGTCAGTTCAGCTCCGGGCAGCGTTAAAGCGATGCAAACAATTGAGAGGGAGATGGCTGCCCCTGCTGTCAGCGGTACTTTTCGATTCAGTTTCAAAGTTTCTATAGCGTCACCAGAGGACGCGATATCGCAGCGCTGATCACTCATGATTTTTCAGGATTGAAGTTTCGAGAATTACTTACGTAATGCTGAGGATTTTGGTAAAATGTTGAGGTGGTCAAGTCAGATTTATTCCAACGTGGTCAATGACAGTGAATTGCAGGAAAACTGGACAA